CATATATTTCTAAGACCTAAGTAACACAAATGTAAGTAAGAAGACAAACTTTTTCAGACTGTGAATAAGATAACAAAGGATAAAGTTGAATCCAATTGTTTTCATTTCTTGGATAAAAATCATGCCAACTTAAGGCAATTTTTCACCAAAGCACCTAATGAGTTCTAAGAACAAATTTCTTGAGAAAAGTCATCTGGTGGTTATAAAATCTAGGAAGGAGTTTGAGCTCTTTGCAGTCTTCCTTGAAGCCTTCTTTGGGATCTTGTTGAGTTTTTCATACATTCAAATTCTGAAAATTTGATTTTTCTCAGTGTTTCTGTGGATGTCATTATCAATTGTCAGAATTTTCATTTACCTCTCTAATCTTTATTTTCTCTTCTCAAGTTCCTTTTGTAATATATGTGACAGTTCTCTCGTAGTAGTTACCAGACAAAGACATCTGCAGAATCTGAGAAAGAAAATTTTCAACATTCATCTTATTAAGAAAAAAAAAAAAAGAAAGCATCCTAAAACATGTTTGAATGTTTTGTAGATATAAAAGAAAACACAAGGCTGGTATTTAAGATGGGGTAGGTGAGGAATGACAGGAGGCAGAGACTGATGATGTTCTATTGCAACTGGTGAGCAATATCCCAGAGCTACTGTGCCACCAGATCCATGAGGCAGCCTAGACAATAAACAGTTCATCTTTTCTGCCCTGCTTTCAATTCTGTATTTTTGTTAATTAATTTTTAAGCTTTTACTCAGCTTCACCTTGGAATGTCCATCTTTTCTTGGAAGTAAACTAAAATAGATCATAATGTCTATGAATAATATGAAGTCTGATTAATCATATTGTAACACTTTATACTCCTACTTTTTGGTTTGGGTAGGCTAGTTGAATGTTGATCATTATGGGCTCTACCTTTAATACCTTAATCAAACTTGTTTCTGTTTTGTCCTTTTGCCTGAAGACTTCTGCTGTTTAGAATTAACTTTGTTCTCAGTCCTTTTCTGTTCTGTGTTGAGCTTTACACCTAATTAGAGGTAATTGTTTCCTTGTTCCTACATCATCAGCCAAGCAAGCAGATCTTGGCTGCATGAGGGTCTTGGTCTCAGAAAGAATGTAGGTAAAACTTAGATAATTTAGTTTTTATCTCTATCTCTTTCATTGTTCTACAGCTGTGATAAATGTGCCTTAGATATGACTTTACTAAGTTGTAAAAATCATGAAAATCTGTATGTTGGAATGGTAGCCTGAATGTTACAGTGCTGTCACAAAGATTTTCACTAAGGATTATTTTTAACAACTCAGACATGTTTTAAGATTTGTTTAGACTTTCTCTCTCTCTTGTTAATCATTTCAGTGATTTTCTGTCACATTTTCAAACCTTACAGTTCTGAGAATGAACTCCAATCTGGGCCTCAGACAAGGTATCTGAACGGGGTCCAATTGGTGTCTACAGATAGAATGCAAAATTACATTAATTAAGTTTGTAATTGTGAAGCAGGAGGGAGAACAATTTATAAAGGCAGAGGTAGGAGGAGAACTTTCAGTAGCAGCGCATGGCGAATGAGATGCACAGCCTGCATTATCAATAGGAGCTGCATGTCTAATCCACCAGACTCAGAACGGAAGAAAATGTACCCTGGGATGTCAGGTGTTAAGGGGAAGAATGGGCCTCTCACGTTCTTTGCGCTTACAAGCCGGCTTGTAACCTTTTGACTCTCTCTCTCTTTCTCTTCTTGAGTTTTGTTTCCTGAAAGGAAAAGGGGTTGGGGGGAGGTAGGGGAAGGAGATTTAAAGAGTGGAAGATCTGTTTCAAAGTAGTGAGTACTGTAGGGTATTTTCAGGCTTTTTTTTTTTTTTTTTTTCCTCCCCCAAGAACTAGTTTTGTTTTGTTTCCTTAAAGAAGCAGTTGCTTTTCAGGTAAAGTGCTTAGACTTAAGATATCTTACCACTATCAACACTGTAATCTTCATGCGCTCTGCTGAAGGTGGCATAGCTTTTTTTAACTTTCTAACTAAAAGGAATGTAGTTTCACTTAAAAACACTGTTGAGGAGTAAAGCTTGTTATGAGAATTAATGTTACACAGTATTGCCTTTTATATTCATTAGATATTATGCAGAAAAACAACCCCCCAAATAACATGAAATTTCTTCTGTTCTCAGAGGATCCCCTAAAGCAGCATGGTCATATATTCTATCCATTGCACAACAGGCCCGATGATCTGCATATGCAAAGGAAAGGTTTAAATAATACTCTCATATTTTGCCTCCTTGCTGTTTTTGAGTTAGTAAGTGTAGGAAATATCCTGGTGCAAGGAGGAAGATGTATGTACCCTAGGTGAGTGTTTACTGGTTTGAATAAAAGAAAATATAACAATACAGGAAAAAGTTAATAGTGTCTAATTAAGGTAGATCTCCAAACTTCATGACTTTTGAGGAGAAAGAGTGGGAAGTGGAAAAATATGCCAAAAGCTACATTATCTGTCCTTGAAATCGTCTCTTCTGCAATGATCTCATGCTAGACTGGAAAAATGGAAATGATAAGGTGATGTTTGTTTTCATTAATTAAAGAGAGTCTTTCTCGTAGAAGAGTGTCCTGAGAATCCTAAAGGAATTTTATATATTTCTGGCTAGCATGGTGAATTTAAGAACTGTCCTCCTCCAACTTTAAGCTGTTATTCATTCATGATTATTTTGAAATGGCTCATGTTGCCTTGGCTTAGCTGTAATGTGGCAGCAATGGAGTAGAGCCAATAGAGGGGTAATTTTACAGCCAGCAATCAGGAAAAGGAAGAGCCCTTAGCCAGGGACTCAACTGTGCCAGGAGGAGCCATTATTCTATTATTATTTCCAGTGTGGAGGCATTGTTTTAAGTTACATTAAAAACATCCTTTAAATGTCTTTATTTGTGTTGTAAAGTTTCCATATCAACTTTTCCCAAAGAAAGGTGTGCGAATCTGTAACATATAAGCAAATGGAGTGCTTGAGGTCTATCTTGCTTTACAGGTTGAGCACTAAAGGGAAACCTCAAATTAAAGGTAATTCCTCAACTTATAGAGCATGGAGGATCACTGGGCAAACATGCCAAGAGTTCTTGATTTTATAACACTTGCTCGAAACAACACTTTGGACAGCCTTTCTTACCATCTTTTTCTTCTGTTAAGGACTCTAACCTCTAAGTGGCTAAAGGAGAGAGAATGAAGTCTGTACTGTTATTCACGTGCATGGATTTGTATTATCTCCTGGAGGTTGTGTTTGTTGAAACCCACAATGGATTTCAATGTTAGAGGATGTGATGTGGATAGCTTTCTTGTTTTCAGTTACTCTGTCCTGTACAGTAAATGTTTTATATTCCATACTGCTTTAATTTCACTTTTAGAGTATGTGTTGTGAACTATTATTGTAAAGGTCTCTATATTGAATATTATCAGTACTTTTTAATAAATAATGTTTGAGGAGGCAAAAGCCTTCCATCTCTAAGGCAAGTAGCACTTGGTTTAAATGCATAATAGTGAAATAATGTGTCCCAAGTCATTAGAACAGCTTGAGACACAAAAGGGAACAGAACCCAAATATCATAAATCCCTGTCCAGTGTCTTAATCCTGAGCCTATTTTTCCATTCAAAATATAAATTTCCATGATTATTATTTGTACTGCCAGAGCTTTCCAGGGATTTAAAGGTGACCTAATTTATTAAATGCTGTCTTATGTGCAAGACAGAAGCAAAATCCTTACCCCAGGGCACTTATTCAGTGGCCCTGATCCTGCAATCTGATCTCTGGAATGAACGTCTGAACTAACACAAGCCATGCCGCCTCTTCAGAGAGTTCGACTGGAGTTTTAATGGAGGAGAGACATGGAGTGCAAGTTGTCTACAACATCCTCAGTGAATTTCAGTACATTACCATTACTTCCCTCTTTTATTATGTGTTTCCCTGTGTCCTCTCCAAGCTCTTGAGCAGCTGTTGTTGTTACCTTAAGCACAGAGAGAAGTTTGGTGTGAACTGTTTTTTTCCAGCTCTGTGTGAGCCTTGATCTGTGGCACTACTTAAAGATGCTTTGCGATGCACCTTGAGATTAAAGTGCATCGCCCCTGCAGTGCATTGATCTTGTCTGGCCCAGAAAGGGGTTGTCATAGATCTGCTTTTGAAATCAGGACTCCCTCATGGGTTTTCCCAAGGCATCATCTCCATGTCATTGGGTTGGCAGGATATGAAGCTGAGGGTCTTTTTGAAGTTTTCCCTCGCACCAAGGGGTGTATGCTTATCATGTGGCAGTTGTGCTAAGTTACACCCTCTTCTCCCTGTGTTCCATGCGGGATAACTTAGTGGAGTATTTAAATATGCCAGGTTTTTTTTTGTTGTTGTTTGTTTGTTTTTTAACTCTATTGTTTGATTTGCTATATTGGAGTATTAAAACAAGGAGTAGAATCCAGTGCTTGCAACTCATTTCTTGGAGAGAAATAAAATGCACAGGCTGAACTTCATGAACTAATTAAACTATCCTACAAAACTCTATCCCCTTGCAGCTACAGATAATAGTCTTATTTTAGGAAACACAGTCGTACTTCATCAGATATCACTTTCGCCAATATTATTTAGCTTTTCATAACTGCAAGGCAAACAGCCTTTAAGGTTGTTTCTGTTTCTCACATTTCAGTCTCTTTTTTTGAAAAGTACAAAAAAGTAAATTTCCTCCATCAAATGACTTGTTATTGGAAAAGCAAAGTAACATTTCACTATTCAAAGCTCTTCTTCCTGCAAAACTGTGGTACGTGGAAAATGTTTTACAACTTTCAAAGTTTATTTGATTTTGAACGCTTTTGGTTATGTAAGTTTTAATAAGTAGCTTTGGTGTACCCCTAAAGGCACACCCCACACACTTATGTTGTGTGACCTAGGGTCACAAGTAATGGCTGCAAGCTAATTGATTGAGAAAGGCTTGTCTGACTGGGCCCCTTTGAGTCCTCCCTTTACATTCCTAAATTTCTGTAAAGAAGGCACTGGCAGCTTCGCCTGTCGAGAGGAGGGGTTGGGGGAAAGGGAGGAAGTTTCTCCGTTTCTGATTATGCGCAGAGTTTCCTTGTACCGAGCTTATGTTCTCCACCCACTACTTAGTAAGAACTCCTTAACAACTTAAAGCTTTATCCCTCTGAGTACCAGAAAAGTGATTTGAGTAGTTATTGAGCAGGGAGAATAAACTGCTTGCTCCGGGCAGGGAGGAAGCTTATGGAAATGATATTAGACCTTCAGCAAAGTGCACAGCTGCATCATACAGAAGCTGAGACTCAAATTGACAGGCAAATAAGCCAGATCACGGAAGGGGCCTCTGTGTGGCAGCTCTGAGCTCCCAAGGGTTGGACAACTAGGCAAAAAGTGCACTGGAACAGGGCAGAAAATAGCACACTAACTTCAGGCAACTGTTGCATTTTCATGGTGAGTCCAGATTTGAAATGTGTTGTTTGAAATGTAGCTGTTTCTGTTGTTTCTAAAATCCCTTCCGTTCTACCACAGCTATCCTTTTGCAAAGTTCATTGTGTTACGGATTATTTGTCCGGATGTGCACTGCAGTTCTGAATGGTGCAGAAATGCACAGGGATGGTCCTTTCCTTGCTGCTTGCTCTCTGTTTTTCCTTTGCTTGCTCCAGGAATCAGGTCCCATTCTCTAAAGCATGCTGCACGGCTTCCGATTTGCAAAGAAAGAGTTTTGCAACCAGCCCTTGGTGTGCGGCTGCATATAGGTGAATAAATGTTTGGAATTTCTGTGCAGTTTTCTGCAGTTTGAGCTTTGCGGCACCTCTGCATTGCTCCGTATTTCGCTGCCTTATCTTGAGAATGTATGGCACGGTCACTATGAAAAGAGCTTTGTGTTTGAATTCCTGGTGAGTCGAAGGGTCAGGGCCTATGAGTTATCTGCCTGCCAGCAAGACTCATTGCTGTGTCCCTTTATTTTTCAAGCTAAAATAGAAAAAACATGTGTCCTCACCCCTTTTATATAAACGCATTTTGAATTCAGGTTTTACATGCTGTTTGTGTGTGCTTTGTTCTTTTGACAAACTTGGGGTTTTGAGGGAAAGCCAGTTTTACTCTGTCCATATTTATTTTATTTTCTCAAGTTTTCTTACTGCTTTTTCTGCATTCCTTTGTTGTGATGCACATAAATTTTTCTTAAAATAACATTCAGTGATTCTGATTTCTGCTAAGAAGAGACAAAAGTTTTATAGTTGCATACTCATCTCCAAAAATACCAGGGAGCTATCTAAATTTTAAGTAGGTTGCAAAACTATGAAGAAGATAAGGCTTTCATAACTTTTGTTTCTCTTAAGGAGGGAAACAGAATACTCCTGGATAAGTTCTAGTATAGTGGTAATAAATCTGATCTGAGTTACTATGTTATTCCAGTCACCGTGCTCGTTTGAAAAAGCTGCTTTATTAGCACAGCAATAGAATTATACACGTTGACAGTAACATCAGAAATAAGTTTGCAAAAACTGTTGAGTGGGTGAAATTTAGAGCTATAATTCTTCAAAGCATGTCAAAGTTGCTCTGTATGTGATGTTTAAGATGCCTGTGATTTAGAGGAGAAATGAATCTAAGTGTTTTTTCCTTCAACAGAAGTGTAATTCTGCACAAAATGATCTTTGTTATATCTTTACTCAAATAGTTTTCTTTTCAGAAGGTAAATAATCTAAGTCAGGAGTTGCAGGAAAATTCTCAGAGAATTATGTTATATAGAGCTAAAGGGAAAGTGCTCATTTGATAGGATAATTCTACCAATCAGCATAAGTTGATCAGATGAAGCCTCCACAGATGGTATGTTCCTACTTGTTTCCTGACCTGTCTTTCTAAGTTTGTTAGTTTCATCTAAATATTACAATTAGCAGAATATCTTTTATTATTATTATTATTTTAAACAATAGATACATGCATATGGGGCTTTAGGTCTGGACTGACCTAATGTTGCAGTCTCTCTCAAGTGCGGAAGTTCATATTGTTCATCTGTTGTGTTCATTTGCCAGTCTGCAATCTTGAGTTTGCAGTTTTTGCATTTCTTTCTTCTTCTTAAAAAAAAAAAAGAAAAAAAAAAAGTGTAAACTGTTTCAAAGAAATGCTAAGCATTATAGGGTAGAAGGTGGTGCTGCGAGGTGATCTTACTAGACTTCGTGCTGCTTCTTTTTGTTAATTGTGTTCCTGTGTATTTTGACTTGGACTAAACCTTAGACTTTCTACAAGAAAGCCTTGGCCATGTTCTCAGTGCAACTAAAGATATATTTGTCTTTTAAGAGTTTCAGGGTCCTTGCAGGAAAGAAATGCATCCTCTTCTGTAACATACATATATGCTACCTGCTCAAGTTCTCTTTACACACTGAAAGTCTGACAGTAAATGAAACGTTGAGGAGCCAATCTCCTTCATGCTGTGGTGCCCTGAAGCACAGAGGAGCCTCTCATAAGGTGCAAGGGAATCAGGGCTGTGGGGATTCAGGACAGCCCACTTCTTGTGGGCACACGGGCAGGGGACCTGCCTTCCCTGTGCTGCAGGGCTTCCATTGGCAAAGAGAGGCACCGGTGGTGTTGTGAAACCTGATGAGCGGATTATGAAACATTTCTTTGTGCTCTGATGACCAGCTTGATGAAGGGGAAAGGGATTAATGAGGAGGAGAAGAATTTACTGATGATTTTCTGCTTATGTTTATCATTAAAAGAAGAATATCTCTCCCAATAGCTGTGTTTTATGATTCATGGAAAGCCCTGTGGTAATGATGGGAGTGATAATTGATGGTGGTGTTCCTACTGGCCATCTGAGTTGAAGTTTTCACAGAGGACCAATGCAATATATCAAGGTTTCCAGTAAGTTTAAACATCATTAGGATGTCTTGAAATACTACATTTGCACTTGGATAAAGGGAAAGAATCATTAGTTCAAACTAAAATAATTATATTGGATTTTACATTTCTCCAACATTGGTTAGAGAAAAAAAAAAGTTTTGAAAGCATTAAACACAATTGTTGTATAGCTGTCATTTATCTGAAAAAAAAAATATTATTTAGCAACTTCAGTCTTTAGTCAAGGAGAAACCAAATTTGTTTTGTGAATTCCACAGCAAAATGATTTTGGAGGTTCACTTTTTAGGAATATTCTGGTTTAGGAAAGTAGTGCATAGAGGAAGGAAAAGTTATTTGCACAACATGTTTCACTGGCATCAATACACTATACAGACATGGTGCCTGCAGGTATCTTTACTGTCATGTGAGAAAAAAGATGGAAATTCAGGACTAACAGTTGATTTTTCTGTCAGAGAGAAGAACTAGTTTGTGGTTTAAGGACAAGGCAATGTCTATTCTAGGAGATAAAGGAAAATTGACAGGCAGAAGAGAATTGCAGCTCTGATGGTTTCAGTGAGTCACAATATTGATAGAGTTACTCTAATTATAATTAGAGTTATAACCCCATGTTATAACTGAGCAATTTTGAAAGAACTCATTAAAAAAAAATTAAAGGAGAAAAGAGGAAAAAAAAGTTTAATCTGAGCACATTTTGAAGTTATTTTGTGACTATAATTAGTTAGATCTTAAACTTCTTTATCTTCAAGCTTCATGGATCTGGGATCCATATATCTGTCTAAAATATAGAAGAAAAAATAACTCAAGAATTGTCAGTATCAGATTTTGGAGTTCAGTAAATAGTTGAGGGAACAGGAAAGCATGTTTCAGGGGAAACAGAAGGTGTACACATGCTGTCCATGAAACACAGAGAGAGAGAAGACTTGATCTTCACAATACCCAAGTTGACTTTCTGTCCTGCAACAAATTTAGAGTATCAGCAGAAGACTGACCCTAAAGGCGATGGTGAAATTGAAAGAAGAACATACAATGAGAAAGATATTTGACTCTTAAAGTTAATCAAGTAGTTATAATATGTGGACAAATGGACAAAGAGAACAAATACAACTGGAATTTGAGGACAGGGCAACAGGAGGGGAGATGGGACATTAAGGGGAAAAATCAAGATCTAAACATAGAAGAAACATGGCATGAGAGAAAAATCCACTCTATCTGAAATATCATTCACTGATAGGTGCCTGTGCTTTGTGAATTGTGCGCAGTTCTTTAATATAAGTATTTTAATTGTGCAAGCTCTTGAATTGGTCCTGTTTCGAACTGCACACGTTAAATGGTACTAAATGAAGAAGAAGGTAAATAGATGGCCCTACCTTGGAGCACTTGTGACTTTGCTGTCAGTAATTTTCATTCTTTCCAAAAAGCAGCAGCAATGACATCCTTCGAAGAATATTGTCCTTTGTGGCAGAACTGGCCAAAGGAAACGCTGTGCTCTATTGCTGCCAGTTCTCTCACTCTTCTTCTGTCTCTTTAATGTTATGCATCTACTCTGAGTCTTCTGAAACTATTTTCTCTGGTTTGGGTGTGTAAAGCAAAAACTGTACAATTTGAAAGTTAATGCTGTATAAAAAGTAGGACTCTCCAAATTATTTCCCTTTATATTTTTTTTTCCTCTTCTTTTACAATCTATTCCCAGTTTCTGGGAAAGAAGAAATATGGCAGGATCTGGTAAGTTAATCATCTTTTAGGTTACATCAAACCATTTCCTTTCAATTGCCATGCCATTTTTTGAATGTATTTTTTGGCCTGAAATTTTACATTTTATAGTCACAAAACACAGGTGATTTTTTTTTTAATTTTTTTTTTGTTGTTGTTAAAGGAAATAAGATTATTTTAAGCAGCAGAAGTGGGAATAAATTATACTTTTCCTGTGAAATGTGAAGTAAACAAAATAAACTCAATGAAAGGCTTTGAACAGCAATTTTTGAAATAACTCATTCAATAGGTATTTTGTGGACTTCTTTTTCTAAGGGCTTGAGATTTAATAAATAAATAAATAAAAGGAACTAATTTGAAATTATTTATATTGAAGATGTTCAATTGTAGCTATTTATAATGTGCCTTTTGGCAGTGTTAGGCAGCACGCTGACATGTTTTACTTGCTCTGAGGACCATATGACAAATTGGGCTTTGCATATGCATAGCATACTGAGTGTCCTGTCCTTAGAGAGCCTGAAAGAGCTTGACCTGTGCACATCTCCAGGTTTAACTTAGCTGAGTGCTGAGGAAGCACTGAAAGTAAGATTGCCATTTAGGAGCTCCTCACATGGAGAAGGAGTCAGCCCCCTCTTCAACTTGCAAATTCTTCAAGTGTTATTAATAACCAAATTTGATGTGGATTATTCATTTTAATGCTGCTGTTGGCTCTGTTTCCTGAAAGTGTTTTGATTTCACTACTGAAACAGAAGTTGAGAATTGCGGTCAATTTTTACTGGAGATTTTTTTCCCAACAGGAGGGAATGCCACTTTGAAGTGTTTGGAGTGAGTACAGCTTGAGTTTTATAGAGATGCTGCTATAAGTATGTATGTGATTTGCA